CCCACCGACTTTACTGAACATTCAAAGACTAAACCAAACTTTCAAAGACTTTACCAAACATTCAAAGATTATTGCTATATTATTTGATGTATAATTTCGATACCCGGCATTATCTTTCCCTTTAATAATATGGCAATAATTGTTGAACTGGACACCGGCTGGTCCGGTTCAATAACATTAGATAAAAGTCAGATTTGGCTTGACCAGCCTACCCAATCAGCTACTGCCAAGCAAGCCGAGCTGCCGCCAATGGAAAGGATGTCCCAAGGAGCTATCTATTGGGCCTTAGCTAATGGACCTGAGGCAAGCTATTTAGATGCTATTTATCAGTTTTATTCTCATCTCACGGGCCTCATAATTGACCTTTATTTTTTATTTATTTTGCATAATGAAATTAGAGATAAAGAAATGTGAGTATTTTTTTCAAAACTTATTTGATTTTAAGTATCATCTCTAAACTTATTCTCCTTTAAGTCTTTTTTTTCATCAAATAGTTATCACATAGTACACATTTTAAAACATTTTCAAATTCTTTCTAAAATGTATTTCATAATTACCCCTACCATAAATAGTGCATACCTACCTGAATGTGAGACTTTCAATATTAGAATATGAGACTTTCAATATTACTTTTGATATTTGTGTATCATTTGAATTTTAAAATTTCACACACACACACACACACACACATACACACACACACACGCATGTAATACAGTGACATTAAACAGTGACACACTCAACAAAAAAATAGTAACATCAAATAGTGACACACTCAACAAAAAAAGAGTAACATCAAACAGTAACACGCTCAATAAAAATATTTGTGTTACTGTTTGATGTTACTATTTTTTTGTTGAGTGTGTTACTGTTTGATGTTACTATTTTTTTGTTGAGTGTGTTACTGTTTGATGTTACTATTTTTTTGTTGAGCGTGTCACTGTTTGATGTCACTATATTATATGTGTGTGTGTGTGTGTGTATATATATATATATATATGTGTGTGTGTGTGTGTGAAATTTTAAAATTCAAATGATACACAAATATCAAAATAAATCTTAAAAGTTTTACATTCTAATCTTCAAAGTCTCACATTCAATTAGGTATACACTATTTATGGTAGGGGTAAAAGGGCTTTTATGACTTTTTTTTAACATATGTACTTTTATCCCAATTATTTTAAAAAGTATAATTTTATCCTATTAAGTTTTTTGGGAGGTACCAGCCTCCCTAAGCCCCATGAAATTAAGCATGCCGATGGGTTTGGGTGTGGCCCAATTCGGTGGGCAATTATCCCAGGCCTTAATAGCCCGGTCTCTCCAAGTCTCCAGTCTAAGATAAACTCAAAACCTAGTCCATGACCCTACATGACGAGCTAAGGGGCTCCCCACAAACCATCATATGTAACGCTGGCCCAACCGTTGGGCCATGAAATTTTAGCCTTAAAACGGTAAAAAAAAAATGTTATTTGAACCTAATTTAATAATTTAATGCACCATAGTCATTAAGTGATAGTAGGCTCAAACTAATAGTGAAATTTACTACTAATTCAATGGTAGAGAAAAATTAAGTCTAAAGAATATTTAAGACAACAAATATATATAGATAATCTAAAGAACATTTAGGACAACAAATATATATATATATATATATATAAGAATCTAATTTGAGAACTTAATGATGTGACTTCAATACAACTATTGGATTAGTTATGAATTTTAATATTAGATAGAGCCCACTACCGATCTAATGATTAGTGTAAGTAGTAACACGGGTGGAATTTATCCCTAATGAATATTTTAATCTGGAGGTGGATAACATGTATCTGACCAGATCAAAAAGACGATTAGTCGACGTGCATGTAAACTAGTTCAAACACCCTTAACGCTAACTAAAAAAAGAAGAGCAGGCCTTCCTCTAGACCCACAACTATTTCACAAAATTGGTCTTTGTACTTTACTAATAGATTGGGCTCTTCCAGAGAAGAATGCGAACACTATGCTGAAGAAGTGCAAAAACTAGCTTACAAATTGTTGGAACTCATATCTCTAAGCTTAGGCCTGCCGGCTAATCGTCTGAACGGATTCTTTAAAGACCATCGCAGCTTCATCCGACTCAACCACTATCCAGCTTGTCCCGTTCCTCACCTTGCTCTTGGGGTTGGCCAGCACAAGGATGGCGTTGCCCTAGCCATCCTCGCTCAAGACGATGTTGGAGGACTCGAAGTGAAGCGAAAAACAGATGGAGAGTGGATTCGGGTCAAACCTACTCATGATGCTTATGTTATCAATGTTGGTGACATTATTCAGGTACCATTCAAGATGTTTTTAAATGAATTCACTTGGATGCTAAAATTCCTAGTACCATAGTCCATGCATATGAGTGACCTATAGGCAACTCGAAGGACCATTAGGGGAACTATTGAGACAACTAGCTAGCTATTTACCATTAAACATGAAGGGTAGAATCATATGATTGAGTCATAGTCATGTAAAATATACTACGCCAACAACTTAGAAGCTTTATAAGTTCTAGTATTGACGGCCGCTACAACAATAACGGATAACAAAGATCTATCCACATTTGTGTTCTTGTTTGTCCATCCATCACAAATGATTGTGCACCAAGCTAGGAACAGATTTAGACTTATGAATCAAAGACATGTACGTCTCGCGGAACAATTCTATGTTTACCATAATTGGTTTGAATTTGTTTGCAACCACCCCCTGTTATTGATAATAAGAGACGGAGCCTAGTTATGGCCTAGGTGTCCGTGGCCATCAAGTTCTCAAAATTTTACTTTATAACTATAAGTCAAGATCGATATTTTAGTTCCATGACCCTCTCAAGTTTACCAAATTACACTCTATACTCTTGTATTATGAGAAATCTGCAGACGCACACAAACATGATGAAATTTGTTGAACTAAGTGATTACGTAATAAAACCAACCTAAAATTCTCCATCGTCTTCTTGAATTAATCAGAAATATTTTACATCTAATTTGACAAGTATGAGTTTATTTTCTTGAATGATTTCTATAGGCTTGATACAATTAGAAACCTGGCATTAAATTTCGGATTACGCTACTATTAGACTACTAGCACAAAAATGAGAGGTTCATTGTTTTGATGATGTCATGTGGTGTGTGTGTGTGTGTGTGTGTGTGAATATATGTACAGGTTTGGAGCAATGATAGGTATGAAAGTGTGGAGCACAGGGCAGTAGTGAATTCTGAGAAAGACAGAATCTCCATCCCATTCTTCTTCAGCCCCGCTCACTACACCATTGTGGAACCCTTGGAAGAGCTAATAAATGATCAAAACCCTGCCAAGTATAAGCCATATAACTGGGGGGAGTATTTCACAAACCGAATACGCAGCAATTTCCAGAAGCTTGATGTTGAAAATATTCAAATCTATCATTTCAAGCTCCCAGATAAATTTGGTTAAAGGGAAGAATCGCCTTTGTGCAAGCATCATCAATACAAGTGTCTTAGCTTTGCCTTCCTATGAAATATTATCCTCCGTATAATTATAAATAATGGATACTCCTATATATAAAGATGGATATTGAAATAAAAGTTACTTGTTGATTTTCCTTCTTTTCTCCTATTCTACTTGGGGGTCGTAGTTTTTGATGTGAAGCATAAATTTGACATGAAATAATGAGTTATAGTTGAATAATTCCTGATGCCAAGTTGAAATTATACAATGTGTTAACACAACCATGCATAAATGAACCAAATTAGTTTCAAACGTTATTAATCTAATTTTAGCACAAGAAACCCCTGAATAAGTATTGTGTTACTATATATGCCATCAGCCTTCACTTGGAATCTTCATCTAAAATGGCAATTTCAATAATTGAAGCATGCATTCTATCTAAGAGGCAATTTTCGTCACCACATGTTATTGTTGTATGAATCTGACATGAAATTAACAAGTTATTGTTAAAAATTCATGTACGATCTGCTAACGCAAATAATAAACGAGGTGGATTAATTTCAGGCACGAATAACTCAATTTTGACATGACAAACCCATTTAATCAGTATTCAATATAGGAAATTGTGAATTTATTTCATGTTTCTCGTTCTTTGATATTGTGGAATATTTTGGTTTACAGGAGGTTTGTTAGTGACAAATTTGCTAGAAAAAAGATGGGAGCAACATTCGTAGATTTCTATTTCATGAGTTGAGTTGATCAATCCAAACGTAACATGATTGTTGAAAAAGTTTGGTTAGAATCAGGGCATTTTATATGAATGATAAACAATTAGATAAAAGTCAACTATTTTTTAAAAGAACAATTTAAAATAACACCATTGAAATGCAAAATGATGCGATTTGATTCAACTGTCACATTTAATTTTATTTCTGCCTCTGCTTCTGACAAAAACCATGTTCATCTTGCTCTAGAGATTTCTATTGTTTTTTTTTTTTGGAAAAAGACAGTTTCAATCATTTGCCTTTTTTAGGCTAAGATTTTCCTATTTATATTGTCTTAGTAGAGTGGTCCTCAAGTCATCTTTAGTGGTCCCTTGATCTGTTAGAATATCGGGGAAAATATTGGACCATAGACTACATTCTCTAGGTATGATGTGTCTTTCTAGAAATTGTATTCTTAGATGAGATCTGGAGATGGTGGTATTCTTCATCCCTCTTCCTCTTGTGGCCCAAGGTATTTTAGTTTAACCGAAATTGTTTGCAAAACTACTTACTTGATGCTAACTTGTGTCTGAGCTAAGCTGACTTGTCTTCTTCTGCTGTTGAGCAAAGTTATTTTTTTATTCTTAGTATTATCAGTATTCCATAAGTATTATAACATGAAATAGTTTGATTCACATGTTCTAGCTTCCTCTTCAAAATTTACTTGTAGTCTTCATCTTTGATTTCCTGTTGATTTTTTGCTGTCTCATTCACAACAAGAATCCGTAAATAATTTTAATAAGAATAATGCTACACTGACCAAATAAAAGGACCAAAATAAAAGATCAAACGACATGATGGTTGATGTGTCAAAGATGATTAATAAGCATCAAAGTTGAAACATAGTAAAAAATGTGTCTAGGTTCGATGCATATTTTACCACTCCTTATAAGATATTCACACCTAGTTGTTCGTTTCATCACATGGAGCGTTTTGTATTTAGGGAGAAGACTACGATACTGGGAAAAAAAAAAGAATTTCGTATTGTATCTCCAAGTTTTGTAGGTTTTGATACAATTTGTTTGGTTTGTTTACTATAAAAAAATTTACAATTTTTGGGGGTCTTACAATTTTTAAAGTTTGAGTTATAATTTTTTTTTTTTTGACAACTTTTTATGGTAACTTACGATCAATCTAAAGTCCCCACAAAATTATAAATGAACATAAAAAATTGTAAAAAAGTCCACAAATTTTATAGTGATGGTATGATACGGACACTTTTTTTTGGCTTGAGATATAATACCAAAAAAGAATGAGTAATGCTACATGAATCTTATTTAGTGACTTTATTTGATGACCTTATCATTCTCTGTCATTAGATTGACAGTGAATCACACTATTAGTTGGAACCTACTATTAATTTAATGGTTATAATCTATTATGTCATCAAATAAAATCACTAAATTAAATACAAATAGCATTTCCCAAAAAGAAAACTAGTCNTTGTTTGCAACCACCCCCTGTTATTGATAATAAGAGACGGAACCTAGTTATGGCCCAGGTGTCCGTGGCCATCAAGTTCTCAAAATTTTACTTTATAACTATAAGTCAAGATCGATATTTTAGTTCCATGACCCTCTCAAGTTTACCAAATTACACTCTATACTCTTGTATTATGAGAAATCTGCAGACGCACACAAACATGATGAAATTTGTTGAACTAAGTGATTACGTAATAAAACCAACCTAAAATTCTCCATCGTCTTCTTGAATTAATCAGAAATATTTTACATCTAATTTGACAAGTATGAGTTTATTTTCTTGAATGATTTCTATAGGCTTGATACAATTAGAAACCTGGCATTAAATTTCGGATTACGCTACTATTAGACTACTAGCACAAAAATGAGAGGTTCATTGTTTTGATGATGTCATGTGGTGTGTGTGTGTGTGTGTGTGTGTGAATATATGTACAGGTTTGGAGCAATGATAGGTATGAAAGTGTGGAGCACAGGGCAGTAGTGAATTCTGAGAAAGACAGAATCTCCATCCCATTCTTCTTCAGCCCCGCTCACTACACCATTGTGGAACCCTTGGAAGAGCTAATAAATGATCAAAACCCTGCCAAGTATAAGCCATATAACTGGGGGGAGTATTTCACAAACCGAATACGCAGCAATTTCCAGAAGCTTGATGTTGAAAATATTCAAATCTATCATTTCAGGCTCCCAGATAAATTTGGTTAAAGGGAAGAATCGCCTTTGTGCAAGCATCATCAATACAAGTGTCTTAGCTTTGCCTTCCTATGAAATATTATCCTCCGTATAATTATAAATAATGGATACTCCTATATATAAAGATGGATATTGAAATAAAAGTTACTTGTTGATTTTCCTTCTTCTCTCCTATTCTACTTGGGGGTCGTAGTTTTTGATGTGAAGCATAAATTTGACATGAAATAATGAGTTATAGTTGAATAATTCCTGATGCCAAGTTGAAATTATACAATGTGTTAACACAACCATGCATAAATGAACCAAATTAGTTTCAAACGTTATTAATCTAATTTTAGCACGAGAAACCCCTGAATAAGTATTGTGTTACTATATATGCCATCAGCCTTCACTTGGAATCTTCATCTAAAATGGCAATTTCAATAATTGAAGCATGCATTCTATCTAAGAGGCAATTTTCGTCACCACATGTTATTGTTGTATGAATCTGACATGAAATTAACAAGTTATTGTTAAAAATTCATGTACGATCTGCTAACGCAAATAATAAACGAGGTGGATTAATTTCAGGCACGAATAACTCAATTTTGACATGACAAACCCATTTAATCAGTATTCAATATAGGAAATTGTGAATTTATTTCATGTTTCTCGTTCTTTGATATTGTGGAATATTTTGGTTTACAGGAGGTTTGTTAGTGACAAATTTGCTAGAAAAAAGATGGGAGCAACATTCGTAGATTTCTATTTCATGAGTTGAGTTGATCAATCCAAACGTAACATGATTGTTGAAAAAGTTTGGTTAGAATCAGGGCATTTTATATGAATGATAAACAATTAGATAAAAGTCAACTATTTTTTAAAAGAACAATTTAAAATAACACCATTGAAATGCAAAATGATGCGATTTGATTCAACTGTCACATTTAATTTTATTTCTGCCTCTGCTNACCATTGAAATGCAAAATGATGCGATTTGATTCAACTGTCACATTTAATTTTATTTTTGCCTCTGCTTCTGACGGAAACCATGTTCATCTTGCTCTAGAGATTTCTATTGTTTTTTTTTGGAAAAAGACAGTTTCAATCATTTGCCTTTTTTAGGCTAAGATTTTCCTATTTATATTGTCTTAGTAGAGTGGTCCTCAAGTCATCTTTTGTGGTCCCTTGATCTGTTAGAATATCGGGGAAAATATTGGACCATAGACTACATTCTCTAGGTATGATGTGTCTTTCTAGAAATTTTATTCTTAGATGAGATCTGGAGATGGTGGTACTCTTCATCCCTCTTCCTCTTGTGGCCCAAGGTATTTTAGTTTAACCGAAATTGTTTGCAAAACTACTTACTTGATGCTAACTTGTGTCTGAGCTAAGCTGACTTGTCTTCTTCTGCTGTTGAGCAAAGTTATTTTTTTATTCTTAGTATTATCAGTATTCCATAAGTATTATAACATGAAATAGTTTGATTCACATGTTCTAGCTTCCTCTTCAAAATTTACTTGTAGTCTTCATCTTTGATTTCCTGTTGATTTTTTGCTGTCTCATTCACAACAAGAATCCGTAAATAATTTTAATAAGAATAGTGCTACACTGACCAAATAAAAGGACCAAAATAAAAGATCAAATGACATGATGGTTGATGTGTCAAAGCTNCTTCAAAATTTACTTGTAGTCTTCATCTTTGATTTCCTGTTGATTTTTTGCTGTCTCATTCACAACAAGAATCCGTAAATAATTTTAATAAGAATAATGCTACACTGACCAAATAAAAGGACCAAAATAAAAGATCAAACGACATGATGGTTGATGTGTCAAAGATGATTAATAAGCATCAAAGTTGAAACATAGTAAAAAATGTGTCTAGGTTCGATGCATATTTTACCACTCCTTATAAGATATTCACACCTAGTTGTTCGTTTCATCACATGGAGCGTTTTGTATTTAGGGAGAAGACTACGATACTAGGAAAAAAAAAGAATTTCATNTTGAAACATAGTAAAAAATGTGTCTAGGTTCGATGCATATTTTACCACTCCTTATAAGATATTCACACCTAGTTGTTCGTTTCATCACATGGAGCGTTTTGTATTTAGGGAGAAGACTACGATACTGGGAAAAAAAAAAGAATTTCGTATTGTATCTCCAAGTTTTGTAGGTTTTGATACAATTTGTTTGGTTTGTTTACTATAAAAAAATTTACAATTTTTGGGGGTCTTACAATTTTTAAAGTTTGAGTTATAATTTTTTTTTTTTTGACAACTTTTTATGGTAACTTACGATCAATCTAAAGTCCCCACAAAATTATAAATGAACATAAAAAATTGTAAAAAAGTCCACAAATTTTATAGTGATGGTATGATACGGACACTTTTTTTTGGCTTGAGATATAATACCAAAAAAGAATGAGTAATGCTACATGAATCTTATTTAGTGACTTTATTTGATGACCTTATCATTCTCTGTCATTAGATTGACAGTGAATCACACTATTAGTTGGAACCTACTATTAATTTAATGGTTATAATCTATTATGTCATCAAATAAAATCACTAAATTAAATACAAATAGCATTTCCCAAAAAGAAAACTAGTCATGCCCAAGTTAGTCTCTTTTTTTTCCCAGCAAATCCTTTCAAAGCAAGTGCATACACAACTATGACATCAATATAATATATAAAAGTTTGAATTTTATCTTCGTATATTTTTTTCGCTTATTTTTATCGTAACTTAAATTATTTTATTTTTAATTAATTTATGACTCAATATAATGTTTATTTCAATTATTATTCATATATGATATTATACACATCTTAATATTTTTTTTTTAGATCATGTATTTGGAAAAAAAAATTGTCAATTTTTTTTAGAAAAATGAGTAGACATCAATTAAATTATGTAAACAAAAAAAAAGAAAAAAAAATTACTATTTTACAAATTAGAATCGATTTTTTGAACGTTCGAAATTTATGTCGTGTCATACCTTAGTCATGAATTGTTAAGCTTAATTACAACCTACAAGGTTTTTTGTCATGGACTTAGAAGGTTCAAACATAGGATTACAAGTGTCCAGGGTCAATGTATATGATAACCCCACCCACTCCACCACCCACCCACCCCTTATATATATATATATATATATATATATATATATATATCTGTGTGTGTGTGTGTGTGTGTAAACACACAATAACATTGACGGTTTTTTGTCACAACTTAAATTGCTTCCCATGTGTCACCCACCACTCACCCTGCAGCCTTGGGAGAAGTAGACACAGCCTTCATCCAAGCCACCGAGCACCGCCCAAAACTCGCCATTGTCGAAGCAGACGACATTCCACTGATTGATCTCTCCGTTCTAAACTCCCCCAACTTGTCGAAGCCTGACACCGCAGCCACAAGACCTCTTATATTCGAGATAGCTAAGGCCTGCAAGAACTGGTGTTTCTTCCAAGTGATCAACCATGGGGTGCCATTAGAATGGCGAAAAAACCTTGAGATCACGACGAGGAAGTTATTCGCTCTATCAAAGGAGGAGAAGAAAAAGGTGAGGAGAGATGAAGTGAACCCATTGGGGTATTATGATACTGAGCATACCAAGAATGTTAGAGACTGGAAAGAGGTGTTTGATCTTATCATACAAAATCCAACACTGTTTCTTGCTTCTCATGAGCCTGATGATAAGGAGTTGAGAGAGTATTTTAATCAGTGGCCCGATAATCCACCAGAATTGAGGTAATTTTTGGAATTATTTTTGTTCAAGCGGTAAAGGAAATACTTTTTTTTTTTCAAATTCTCTTCTTGACTGATCATTAATCATTAACCAGTGAGAGACTAACATGTGCAAAATGAATCTCGCTTTAACACAAGATAGTAAAATGAATCTTGCTTGAACACAAGATAGGCCAACTTCCTTGCCAAAGCGTGTGTGTAGCTATTCTAACTTGGTGACCTCTTTCTCGAGGCTCCACTGCTCTTGGGTCGCCTCCCTCCTTCCTTGATCTTCATTTTCGGGAAGGTTTGCCATATTTCCATATTTTTTCAATGGAGAGAGAAAATAAGGGGAGAAAGAGAAATAAAAAAAATATGGATACAGAGAGAGTAATGTTGTCTTGATTACGCTTCAGAGAAAAAGAGTGTGAGAGAGAAAATATAGGGAGAGAGAGTAAGAGAGTAACTGTTAGAGAAAATAGGGAGAGAGTGTAAGAGTATCGGTCATAGAAAATAGGGAGATAAAGAGAGAGGGAGAGAGAGGGAGTGAGTGAGTGATTTAATGGCAATACCACATGGCAATGTTAACGTGATATTACTAACTAATAATATCAAAATAAATAAGTAAATGGATCTCATTAAAATTAATAATCAACCCTCCATGTAAGTAAATAATTAATCATTCTTCCTCCATGTAAGCAAATAACTACTCAAGTGAGGTTCACCTTGCCCACTTGGTGTTTTATTATTGGTTGATAATACTGTGTTAACATTACTAACATAGTATCCCTATTGCATTCAATATTTACTCGAGAGAGAGTAACAGTGAGAGAAAATAGAGAGAGATTTTGATGCATTAGTAAGTCTGCTTAGAGGATACTTCAGTTATTTTGCCTCAAAATAAATTTTTGTTCAAAATATTTTTTTAAATAAACTTTTATTCAAATAAGTCTTAAAAATTGTACCGCTTTCATTTTTCCCTATTTACTAACTAGTAGATTTGGGTCTTCCAGAGAAGAATGCGAACACTATGCTCAAGAAGGGCAAAATCTAGCTTACAAGTTGATGGAACTAATCTCTCTGAGCTTAGACCTGCTGGCTAATCGTCTGAATGGATTCTTTGAAGACCAAACTAGCTACATGCGGCTCAACCACTATCCGCTTTGTCCCATTCCTCAACTAGCTCTTGGGATTGGCCGCCACAAGGATTCCCTGTGCCCTAGTCATCCTCGCTCAAGACGATGTTGGAGGACTCGAAATGAAGCAGAAAGCAAATGGAAAGTGGATTCGGGTCAAACCTATTCGTGGTGCTTATATTATCAATGTTGGTGACATTATTCAGGTACCATAATCCATGCATATGAGTGACCTATAGGCAACTCGAAGGAACATTTGGGTAACTATTGAGACAACTAGCTACTTACCATTAAACATGAAGGATAGAATTATATGATTGAGCCATAGTCATGTAAAATGTACTATGCCAACAATGTACAAGCTTTATAAGCTCTAGAATAGTATTCATTAACAATACGACCGCCATNGAAGGAACATTTGGGTAACTATTGAGACAACTAGCTACTTACCATTAAACATGAAGGATAGAATTATATGATTGAGCCATAGTCATGTAAAATGTACTATGCCAACAATGTACAAGCTTTATAAGCTCTAGAATAGTATTCAATAACAATACGACTGCCGTNAGAAATAAAAAAAATATGGATACAGAGAGAGTAATGTTGTCTTGATTACGCTTCAGAGAAAAAGAGTGTGAGAGAGAAAATATAGGGAGAGAGAATAAGAGAGTAACTGTTAGAGAAAATAGGGAGAGAGTGTAAGAGTATCGGTCAGAGAAAATAGGGAGATAAAGAGAGAGGGAGAGAGGTANGTAATAATAACAGATAACTAGAGTAAAAAAAATCTATCCACATTTGTGTGTTCTATATTTACCATAATTGGTTTGATTTTGTTTGCAACCACACGTCCTCGATAATCAGAGATGGAGCCATGTTGTGGCGTAGGTGGTCGTGGCCATCAAGTTCTCAAAATTTTACTTTATAGATCGATATTTCAATTTCCATGGCCCTCTCAAATTTGTTAAATTATAATTTCTAATCATGTACTATGGGAGATCTACGCACACGTGCGTATGCACACTCATTGTTTTGTTTTGTTATGGTTTTTGCACTTGGAAAATGCATGATGAAATTAGTTGAAATAAGTAATTACGTGATAAAATCATAAATATATTGCAACTTAACAAATATGTATTAATTTCTTGATTATATGGAGCGATTTTCATAGTCCCGATACATTGGAAACCTGGCATTACCAATAACTCATGAATGGTGATCATTGAATAAATTTTTTTGATTATGCTACTATTAGACTACTCATACAAAAAATGAGAGGTTTGTCATGCTGACAATGTCATTTGGTGTGTGTGAATATATATATATATATATACAAGTTTGGAGCAATGAAAGGTATGAAAGTGTGGAGCAAAAGGCAGTAGTGAATTCTGAGAAAGACAGGCTTTCCATTCCATTCTTCTTCAACCCAGCCCACTACACCATGGTGGAACCCCTAAAAGAGCTGACAGATGATCAAAACCCTACCAAGTACAAGGCATATAACTGGGGGAAGTTTTTCGCAACTCGAAGATGCAGTAATTTTCAGAAACTTAATGTTGAAAATATTCAAATCTCTCATTTTAGGCTTTCACAGAAATATGGTTAAAGGGAAGAATTGTCTTTGTACAAGCATCAATAAATGTAACATCCCCAAGCCGCCTCTTAAAAGAGGTAGCCGGGGTGGCCCAATATAGCCCAGTCACTCCCCCCCTTCGTAACTGATGTGGGATACCAGGACTGCGCATCCTTAACAGGCGGACGGCATTACATTCTAAAACCTTTCACAATCATGAGAGCACTAAATAAATCCATAAATAAGAAATTTTTATCCATCAACCATTGATATTTTAACAAAATTCGGGCAGAGTCTCCTTTGTACGGGGAGCTCTACCACAAAATCCAACCTGTGCAATTCTACTATAATGACCACACCGGGTCCAATTAACTACTATATAATCAATCCATCAAATTTACATGTTAACCCAAAAAAAT